TGAATTGAGTAATAAATTTCTCTATGTAAAATAACTATGGACCAATATTCAGAGTAGAATAAGAAACAATTGTCGGGAACTTGAATTTAGCAAGTAATCGTGACTATAGTCATGGTGCTATTATAAGGATTTATTGGTTATGAACAAGGTGCTGTTGCTCCTAGACGAACACGGGGACCCCTCATTTTTATTTCAAAATTTAATTTCCTATAATATAAACAATCAATAGGCAAAGTTTGACAAAAATCTCAGTGCACGTTCTATGTCAGTGGAATGATCTTAAGCGGCCCTCTGTTAAGCGGTCACCCCCTATTAATAGGTTACTATTCAAATTCCCGAATTTTGCTTCCCATATTTACTGTATATTTGATCTCCATTAAGCGGTCACCTCTATTAAGTGGCCGCGGTCACCTTTTATACTTCCCAATTGGCTAATTTTATTGTAATTCACCTCTGTTAAACGGTCACCGTGCTGCATTAGGTGGTCAACCGGAGCACAGTTTTATGGTTACGAGGAACTTAGGCTGGCGCTGAACAAAAGTCAGTGACATGCTTCACCAAATTAAGTTTCGTAGCCCAAAATAACAGACGACCATAACTGACTTTCTCACTTCGTGTTTAAAATGAACAACATTACTATAAAACCTGTTGGCTAGTGTGTACACCCCCGAGAACATGCAACCATTGATACTTCGCGTTGCAGTTGTTACGAACAATGAATGTAGATTGCGCGTTTACTTTCTCTTCTTGTTCAATTTTTGCCCCAYATCGCGCTAAATTCTGATCACCTCTTTTAAAAGGTCAACCTCTTTTAAGCGCTTAATAGACGTTTGACTTTATTTTGAAAGAACAAATTACATAAAACGCTATCCACATGGCGTACCCACACCACTGGTTAGCGATTTATTTGAACGTTACTAATTTTGTGTTCCAGGGTTGGAGTGGATCCTGAAGAAGAAGATAAGCAATCAAACTATGTCTCGGTCAGCACTGTAGGTTCTTTCCTTGTCGAAATACGAAATTCTTTAATAAGCCTTTACTGTCACACAGCAAAGAGTTAAAAGTCTTAAAAACGTTGTAAGTCGTAAACGTGAAGTACCACTATAGAGCCCAAGCAGGTCTCAAGTGAGTCATTAAAGGCTGAGATTTGTTAATATTTGTTATAATGAGAAGAAAAAAAACTTTTTTGAAGGAAAGCTACATGTACACGTTGTCCTATTTTGACTTGATTAACAACCCCCATAACTTTTGAGTTTTTTTCCCAATACGTATGTGGTATGGAACATAACTGAAATTGCTCATTTTACTGAGAGCTGCACAATCAGTTATGGAAAAGGATATACTCGCATACATAAACACCTTTGGCTTTCTCTTCTCTTTGTCTTTGTACAATTTTAGTTATGAAAATATAGCGATCAATACCCTTTGAAAATGATGAATGATTTAGAGACAGCTGGTTTATATTTGTTAATATAGGAAGAAAGGCACCGTAGAAGTCAAATGTTTAATGCTAACACTTAAACTGTTACAAAGTCACCCCTTTGCTGTTTTATTCATTTTGATCAACGTATAATCTGTTTGCATAATCTGTTATGCATTCTCATAATCTGTCTTCAGTATAATCTACCTTGGCATTCAACTCACGCTTGTCAACATTAAGCAGTTATTGAAGATGTGTCTACTATTCATCGTGGTGTAAGATAGGATAGATGAATTTTTACTCGTTTGTCTCGCGATGGAGATCTACATC